TGTCTGTAATTTGCTAAGTCCCCCCATTATTATGTTATCCTTCTTTTACTCTTTAAAATAAAAAAAAAATCAATAGCAATAACAAACTCACTAAAAGAGAAATTAGGAAAACAACACCTTTCACAACAGTATCCCAAAACACAAAATACCTAGGAATCAATCTAATGAAGGAAGTAAAAGACCTTTTCACTGAAAACTACAACACTCTAAAAAGGAGATCAAAGAGCTATCCAAAAATGGAAAGATATCCCTTGCTCTTGGGTAGAAAGAATATAGTGAAAATGACCATACTTCTAAAATTGTTATACAAAATCAGTACACTTCCCATCAAAATATCAATAGCATACTCACAGAATTAGAGAAAACAATCCTAAAATTCATTTGGAACCAGAACAGCCTAGAATAGCAAAAGCAGTTCTGAGCAACAAAGGCAAGGCAGCGGGTATCACAATTCCTGACTTGAAATTCCACTACAGCCACTGTGATAAATAGAGCATATTACTGGCAAAAAAAAAAAAAAAAAAAAACCAGACCCAAGGATCAGTGGAACAGATTGGAAGATGCAGAAGCAACTCCAGATACATGCATCCACCTTATCTTTGACAATGGAGCCAAACACATTCACTGGAAGAAAGATAGCCTTTTAAATAAATGGTCTGTAAAAACTTGCTTTCCAAATGTGAAGATTAAAACTAAACCCACATTTTTACCATGCACCAAACAAAAATCAAAATGGATCAAAGATCTAAATATTATAACAGAAACACTAAATCTGCTGGAAGATAGAACAGGTAAAACTCTTGAAGACACTGGTGTAGGCAGACTTTATGAACCAAACCTCAATCACACAAGAACTATCACAAAGAATCAACAACCTTGATATCCTCTTACTAAAATGCTTTTGCAAAGCAAAAGAACTCACCAACAGACACCAAACTCACCAAAAGAACTCACCAACCCACAGCGTGGGAAAATTTTTTTTACCACTTGTTCCTCAAACAAAAGACTAACACATAGAATAGATAACTCAAAAACATCACACTTCTCAAATTTAAACACCTAATCCAAAAGTGGGCATCTGAAATGAATAGTTGCTTTTCAGATGAAGAAGTGGAAATGGCAATTAAATATACGAAAAAAATGTTCATCACTGGTCATTTGAGTGATGCAAGTTAAAACAACACTGAGATTTCACTTACTCCATAAAGAATGGCTGAATCAACCAACAGCAAATGCTGGCCATATTCTGTTTGGTTTAAAGCAAAGTTATTTTGTGATCCTAGTTTGAACAATAAAAAAGTCTTAAGAGACTTCTTTTAAAAAATAATAAATAAATATGTTTTGCAATT